CTCATGAGTAATTCATACACTTTTCTATTCCGCCTGGTTTTCTTTCCTCCAGGCCAGTAAACATACAGTAATGCAACATATTTGGCTGCTCTCTATAGTGTATTGAAGCTGTGTATGTAGTGAAGCAGAAGGAAAAAGGGACGTTTCATTTCTCGGACACCCTCTCTCCCCTCCCAGATGACAGTTTATGGCATGATTGCTTGTGTGTGCCACTCTGTCTTAAAAGGTGTCATCCCTGAGGCAAAAAGGTGACGTCGATGGCAGCAGTCCATCTGACATCTGTCAAAAGCTATCGCATGTTTTAAACGCTCGCAGAGACAACGTTCCTGGAGGAGTCGGGGGTTATTTTTATTTTCCTGAGACAGCACGGCACAACAAAATAAAGACAATTACTGTCAAGTGTGATTGCTGTGGGAAAAGAAAAACGAATCTGACTGATCTATTGAGGGACTCTGTTCATGTTTCCTGAAGGTCACACACTTCCTGTCCTGAATGGCGTCATCACATATCTGGCTTAGAGGAGGAGATGGAGGTTTCCGAGAGACACAGAGGGAAGAGAATCGGAGCGTAGAGGGGACAGGCGGAGAGCGAGAGCGGACAGTCACTTTGGATTAGAGCTACAGCGGGTCTGATGAAAACAGACTGAACTGATAGGAAAAGGTTTAGATGGGAATAAATGGCTAAAAGTAAGGCAGCAGGGGGAGACAGGAGAGAAGCTAATGCTTTTAAAATGTAGATATTGGAGCCGTAAATAATAAAGTGAGGTTTATGGGTCTAAAGGGCAATTTATACTGAGAACTCCCCACAGAAAGATCTGCGCTGCAGTTGAGAGGTTTTATGGTTACTTTATGCCAAGTACATTTTTATTACTTCCCTCAATACACAAAAACACACAGCTTAATCAAATACATTAATTTATATATTTAAAAATTATGTTAAATGGTAATTGCCAGGAGGATATGGTCTCAGTGTGCCCAGCTGAGAGCTGAGAGTAGTGGTGGTTTCTGCCATTATATCATAAAAACTGATATGTTGGAATTGAAAAACAAAGTCGGCTTTGAAAAAAAAGAAAATATATACTATATTGTTCCTTAAAACCATGTTTTTTTTTTTGTTTTTTTTTTCAGGTTGTAGCCTATAGTGGTGATAACAAATTCATTAAATTATTTAATCTAAAGTTTATTTTGAGCCAGAATTGTGTTCAAATAAAAAAAAAATGTTTAGTACAAGCCTCTATTTTATATTTTGCTAATTGTTTTCCCTTCTTTAGCATGCAAGATAAGATAATCTTCATTGAAACCACAGTGCAAGAAACTAGAATAGAGGAATAGTTCAGTTAAAAAACAATTACATTAGTAGATGCACATACCATGTGTGCACTGTAAAATAGTTAATATGACGCAAAGCTACTGAGTGATAAACAATTTAAGTTGACCAGGACATGGAACATTTATTTATTTTTACCGTATCTGTTCATGTCTTGTTAACGTGCAGTAGTGTATGTTCCCAGATATTTTTGAGTGAGTCTCAGTGGACGTCATCCATCAGTCACTCAGCCAGTGTTGGCTCTGAGACTGAGCCTGAGCTGACAGCTGGAGGTCGCAGGCTGCGGTGAATAATATAACAAAGTGTCATTTAGACGTTTGAAATGCTTTTTAATACTGCTTTTCAACTAAGGGTTTGTTCTAATTTGCAAAACTTGAGGCTTTAAAATACTACCAGTGACAGGTTTTTCTAAATGAGTCCCTCTTATTCAATCTGTTCTGCTAACATAACCCTACAGATAGTGCAGAATAGGCATTGTGTTTGAAGAAAAACAACATTCTGCATGTTTTGTTGGTGTACAAGTAGTCTAGTATGTAACACGTTGGTTTGGGAATCCCAGAGTTTGTGCTATTAATATTCGCAGTGCAGTTTGGCACCAACAATTTAACCTGTATGTCCAAGTGTCTGTCTGAGCTTTTGCGTGGGTGTGATAATCTGGTTACAAGGTGCTGATTGTTTGTGGGAAAACTGTGATTAGTATACAGGCTTGATTTGAATTGTACCTTAAAAGGCTACACACACACACAGACATCGTCCTGAGAGGGTGTTGTGTTGACTAATTTCTCAATAGGATCATTGGTTGACGCTGTCAAAAATAAGGACAGGACAAAGGTGTCAGAAAATCTAACAATTAATCAAAAGTCGATTTACTGTTGACAGAGTAGGTCAACAGCATGAGTTGATCTTAATTCAGAAGCATCAAAAGACCCTTCTCTTTCCCTTTATGTTTTCTGGTGTTAATAATATGGATGCACATATCTAACTTGCTAACAAAGCAGAGGCTGACCTCCTTACCCAGCTGGCATCATGCCCGGTATTTGCTCTTCTGTTTTGAGCTACAACAAGGTTGTTTCTGGGTCACTGCACAGCTTTATGTGCACGTCACATCTAGGTTTATCTAGGAGTCCTGACCCCTCTGCGGACCCCGCAGTCACAGCTTTCTCAACATGACTCGCAGATTTTCTTTATTTTTGCTCTGAGTCACAAAATCCCCTCTAGCTCACCACGAATCGATCTCCACACTTCCCCTATCCTTCATTTTTGTACACTCCTCCTCGCTTTCATTTAGAATCCACCTCTCCTTGTCTTATTTCATTTACCGCCCACAGAAATCCAATCACCAGCCAATCGTCCGTATCTGTGAAATATTTTGTTGGTATTAGATGACAGAAAAACAGGCCTTGAGTTTATTGTGGGCCTCCTTCTTTTTCATGGCAACATGCAGTGTTCAAATGAGGCTTAGCAGGGGGAACATCCAACTCATCATGACCCTAACTCACCTCTTTTCCAGAGTGTTTTGGGAACTTTCAGTCATTCTTAACATTACAAATTTAAATGATCACAGATAAACTACCATATTTATATGGTAATGAGAGTAGTAGCCAGGGCACATTCAGGATGTGGCCACCTGCTCATGCGAAAGTTTTATCAAATAATCAAAGCCAAGATGGACAGTATTAATGTTTATTTTTTGACATAAATGACTTATTTGTAAGTATTGTTCAACTATATCTGGAAAGTATTTTCCACAGGTATATGGAGGACCATACTTTTGGACTCGACATTCACAATTGTTCAAACTAAACTTTACATAAGTATCTTTTAGCAGAACAAAAGAAAACACTTTAAAAGAGAGATTCAAATCATCCCCTTCATTTGCACCTAAGCACACCTATCCAGTCACTAAGGGACGTATATAGATTGAACATTTTTTGTAAAGTTACTTAAATTGTTGGGTGCAGCCTCCCCTTTTTCGACATCTGAAATGCGTTTCAGAAGGGGGCTACTGCTGCCGTTGGATGATCCTACTATTACCTCATTTGAGGCGTACTGGCCCCTGAAGATATTGTAATCAGCATGACTTTCACAGCTGACCTCCTTTATCTGTGAAAGAAAAACTACCGACTTTTAACAGCAGTATTTTGAAGACATATTTAAAAGAAAATACTCAGCAACCTCTCATGTAAAACAAAATACAAAAAATATGTTGTTCTCTTAGAGATGCCAAAACGTTATCAACATCACTTTGCTCCTAAACCAATCACACTCCATTGTATTCTCACAAACAAGACAGATGAACGTTAACATACATGCCCTGGGCCTTTGCATGTACTGTAGGCATCATGGGACTGACGACTGCACAATCAATCCCAACTGTTATTTTAGTGACAGATTTGACACAAAGTCAGCGTCCTCTGAAGTCAAGGTCTGTTATGACCAACCTTTTTGTGACACATGTTTGATTGAGATGTCGATTGATTCCTGTGGGATCAGGATGGATGACTGAGCGCAGTGGTGAACAGGGGGGGGAATCTAGCACCAGGCACACTTTACACCCTTCCTTCAGCGGATGGATATAAGAATAAAATCACTGCACACACAGTAACAATTGTTCATGCTTGAGATTAATGACGAGTGAACGGATGGTGAGAGGGATGGAGAGTGTGTTATTAGTGCAACCCCTCATTATTATGTAGGAAAATATGGCATCAAAGACAGATTGCTTGACAGATTGTGACCAAATGTCATACTATAGCAGGCGAGCAGGAGAGAGGCAAAGGGAGAAAAAGACACTGAGAGGGAGAGAGGAGGAAAAGGGACACAAGGCTTCCCAGAGCCAGTGAGTATTTATAGATCAGATATAGCCAGAACCTCTGCCTGGCAGCAACTGTGTGCGCCTTGTTGCTCCTGCTGATGTCTCTGTACACATTCGACATGCTATGACTCAGTGGAGACATTAGGAGAGGGTGATGGTGGTATTAATGGCACACGCAGGCTGATGACCAACTCTGAGATTATGCATGAATAGAGCCAAATAGAAATAGCTGTTCACACCTAACAACTAGTGAGTAGTTCCTTAGGAAGTAAGTAAGTAGGGATCGAGGAATGAATAGGAAGCAACCTGACAATAATAACTTATAGAGTAGTGTTCAAGAATAGATATATAGAATAATTATGCAACGACTTGTTCCCAAGTGTCTGTGGATTGGAAATACACACTTTATTTACTGATTCAGCTACTCATCACCAGCACATACTACGATTCATAAAGCATCATCATATTTTTTTACGATACAATAAAGTTTTACATCATTCACCTTTATTGATGATTATCTGAGCTATACCTTTTATGAGTTATTTGGAGTTATTCAATTAATACTCACAAACTATTTATTAGTTATGATCTCTTTTCTTACTCCTGTGCCTTCTTGTCAAATGTTAGTATATTTGTCAGGTTCATATTTCTGTCATGTTTACATTGATCTCCAAAAAAGATTCCAGACAAAAGCTATTTGTTATAAGTAGCCAATATCTGTATCTGGTTTCATAGTTCTCTCTTTTCCTGTGTGTGTGCGTGCGCGCGCGCCAGCCCATGTGAGAGTGGCGACCAGAAGCGCGCTCGGTTCACTCAGCTGCTGGATGCCGCGAGCGCACTCAGCAACAGACAGGGGAAATTACAACTTACATGGCTCTCGCTGTCTCTCTCTTCAAAAGAAATCCATGGCAAATCAATTATGATTGGTAAACTGTAGTATCTTTGTAGCCATCATCCGTGAAGGCGATAAACAAAACCACTGTTATTTTTGACAAATACAATCGCCAACACATCAGCTGTTTCCCACTGTTCCACATTCCGGCGCACACGGGGAAAATGAAGGCGAAAAACCGTGACCAAAGCTTGTCGGACTCCAGAGAGCTGGACGGATCCTATGATCAGCTAACGGGTGAGTAAACCGGAGTGTAAAACACCGGTAGATGTTGTGCGATAGCCTGCAGAAATAAAGGATTCAATATGTTAAACAAATTATCTGAAAGCAGCCGAGTCCACCTAACTTCATGTGGCTTTGAAATGTCACAACCAACTAAATATGTCTTTACATATATTGATAGTTTTCTGTGCAAGTTTACATTTAGGCTAAGTTTATATCATATTTCAGCCTACTTAAATTCAACGCATCCATTAACGCTGAATACTGTGTTATTCTCACTTAGGTAGACGGACATTAAACTAGTTATATCCTATAAAACGGGCGACAAGAAATAACATATTGAATCTTTTAATGTCAGTGTTGCATGTCTGTGTGGTTCGATAATACGGTGCGTAATGTTGGTGATTGATCGTTGTTTTCTGTCAACAATTTGAAAACATAAGTCTGAGTTTTGCTGGCCTGGCTCAGCTTTGGGAGACCACCTTTTTGTCGCTGTCTCGGCTGATGTTGTGTAAAACGCCGCGGGGTCGATAACACCTGTCTGACCGAGAAGCTACCCAAATTGGGGAGCAGATTCCCATGTCGCTTTGAGCTTGATCTGCCGAAGTCAGAATCCATGGTTGGAAAAGGGAGTGATATTCTCTGCAAAAACCCGAGCGACACTTAATGCCATGTGGATTCTCAAACAGGGTTAATGTGTGCGTAGTTTCGTTTTGGCTCTGTGATTTGAATTGTCCTTTCTGTTTCTCCGTGTTTGTGATTGTAATTCCGTGTTTCTGAATATGAGACTTGACAGTTTTATCGCGATATAATGAAGATGCTCGTTGAGTGACAGCCAGCATGCCTGCACATACCTGCACTTTGTACGTGCTCCTCTGTGAGCTGAGCACTCTCTTGAGGTGTTTCCTCGTCACCACAGCCTCCCATTGTCACATTATAGCTCACAGCTTTTGCTTATGTGAGCACCGTTTGCCTGTTAAGTGCCAGCTGCCTAAATAAAAAGGCTTGCCTTGATGCTTGAACACATTTCAGGCCTGCAGAGGGAAAAGTCCCCGTCCAGGCAGCTGTGTGCCTCAGGCTGGATGGGGACACTAATCTAATTTGCACAAGTATACGCATTAGCAGCTAAGCAGTTCTCAGTCACAATTTAATGGATCCAGAATTAATAAAATATTGAAAGGATAGTGTGCGTGCAGCCGACATGCACTGTGTGGGTATCTTCTGCTGGGTTTATCTGTACATATTTCAGAGTGTATCAAAGCATGTGTGTGGGTATGTGTGAGTGGGTGAGTTAAGAAGCAGCAGATTCACTTTTTATGCAGTCCATTGTTGAAAGTTTTAAAGAATAAGAAGAATTTGTTCTACTGAATTCCAAACACATCCACCAGGATTTACAACTCAATGCGGGAATTGTAAGTCATGTCAGCCAACCCGCAGGATGCTGACCGTCTTCTTCATGCTTGGAAAAACTCTGAGCTTTGCAGAGCTTCTCAGAGACTAAACAACTCATACTCAGCAGCTCAACATCTCTTTTTTCCTGGTGCTTTGAAACTTTACCTTTGACTCTGTGATCAGTTGCAGATTAGTATGCACCTCACACCTGAGAAAGAGATGCATTATGGAGGATTAGTAAATGTGTCAGTAAAGAAGATAAAACTTTCTTTAATCTAACTCTGAACTCGGAAAAATCTGCTTTTTTCTTCATCTTTCATCTTCGGTCCAGCTTGTTGAAGTGGTCCCCTGTGTCTGACTGTCCACAAGAAGTCATATTGCTTTTTTAACAGTTAAGCAAGCGGATAGGGTGGGGTGGTGGGGGGGAGCGGGACTGTGGCAAAGCAATTTACTTCTGGCATATTTTTTAATCACCTTTCCAAGCGTTGAATTGCGTGGTTAATTCATCTTTGTAAGATGATGTCAACTCCAAAACATACTAAGCCCTGATGGTTTGCGTTGTTATTAAGGCTTGCTATTGCCGATAGAAGTCAGTGTAATGGAGATGTGACGCAGATAAAGTTAGGGGAAATATTGTATGGTCTGTGACACAGCTGACCGCAGAATTGGCGCAGTGTATATTACTGCGTGTGTGACTGAGAGAGAACAGGTGTCAGGTGATTTTTGGTATCATCCTCACTAAAATTGAAATGTATATAGTGCAATGTGAGAGCATGACTTAGTTGTGAGAATTGATTCTTAAGTGGGTTTTTGTGTGGGAAGACAGCTACAGGTGAGTCATTGTTCTTCTTCTTCGAGAGAGTGTGCTTAGAGCAAAGCTGGCCTGAGTTTCTTAAAGGTAGTGTGGGTGGTCTCCAATCACACTTTGAGTGAAATGCAACCCTCTAGAAATAACTCTCTCTCTTTGCCTGCTACATTGTACTGATGTGCGCCCTACTGTGTGTGCATGTGTCGAGTGCGTGGTAGCCTGGCATTCCCCGTTGTGTTTAAGAGCACCGGCACTGAGATGAGATGTAATTATAGAAGCGTGGTGCAGTAATCTCCTCTTCCACCTCACATAACACACTCAAGAGAAATCATATCATCTACACTCACACACAAAAGCACACACACGCAGGCACACACAATGGCTTCTCTCCACATGTGTGTATGCGGCCATTATCTCAACCTTGTCACGCTTCCTTTTCCGTGCTCCAAGTTCAAGATATTGTCTTAAGGCTAAATCAGTATTTCACGGCAGCAGTCTGAAAATCATCCTTTTGTTCTCTTGATTATAATAATGTGCACTATCTGATTGTTGTCAATAATATTTTATAAAATATTATGAGATTTATTATATGTTGGCATTGCGACCTTTGCTGTATCATGCCATTTCTCTATTTTCTCCTTCATGATCAGATTTCTGCAGCATTTAGTTTTGACACAAACAGTTAATCGTGCAAGTCATTTTAATAAAAGCAAACAACACTCCAAATATATTTAGACACTGGAGTTGATAAAACAAGACATTGGGGTCACCTTGGGCTTTGTCAAAGTGCTGTTTTCTTCGAATATTTTATACATAAAAAACATAATTGATATAATTGTCTGATTATCTGATAATGAAACTAATTAAGTCTGTGTGTCTGTACTTTTCCTCTCCTAGTGTATGTGTTTACATAAGGACTCAAGAAAACATGAAATCCAAGGTTATTTGTAATTGGCTGCACAGACACCCTCAGCTAGAAAGTCACGTTTGAACCACATTGTGTATGTTTGTGTGTTAGCAGAGGTCAGTATGTGCAAGATAGGTTCGGTAATGTAGTCCATCGCTCAGATTAACTGCACATCCGTTCTTGGCAAACTGATCTGATCACCCATTTCCCAACAGTCAGCACAACCGGATGCACCACCAAGTGCAAACTTATAATCATAACACAATCATTGACCAACGCAGACATTCACTCACTACAGAAGTTTGCTTCAGGGTAAATTATTTCCTACTTAACTTTATAGACATGTATAACAGAGTTCCCGTTAGCCGGTAATTACCGGACAATGACCGGTAAAATATGCTGAAGTCCGGCAAATCTAAATCTCTCCGGTCAAAATGTCCGGTCAAAATAATTTTCCCTTAGCGCAATACCGCATCAGTTGCGCCACTTATGTGACAGACAAGAATAGTATGTGACAGACAAAAGAGTATGTGACAGACAAAAATTGTCAATTCTAATGTCTAACACTTAATGTGGAGAAAGAGATGTCCTGTATGGGTTGATTGTGCGTTGATCTGTTGGTAATGCCTCGGGGTTCCGGTGGGCATGTAAACAAATGCATAATGCTGCGCTATACTTTGTGGCCTCATCCGGTTGCATAGCGACGCTTATTGTTTAGGTGTCTTTTAACAAGCAGGTAGTCATATCATTAGCTAGAACTAGCTAGATCTGATCGATATGGACATAAATGCGAGTAAAGTCTAATCTGACAGGAGAGAGAGATCGGCTGCTGCTGACGAGTCGACACGCAGCTCTGCATGATCCCCTGCAGCGGCGAGCAGAGCAAAACACACTTCAGGTTAGAAAATCACACGTAGCTATTTTAATTACCTCTCAAACTACCTAAACTAGTTATAGATATGTTTAGTTTTACTGTCGGGTCACTCATTACTGGATCCGCGAGCTGCATGATACTGACGGGCTGTCAGGAGAAGGAGAGAGCGCTCCGTTTATTATTCCCGCGTTTTTGTAAATTACTGTACACTTTTGAATAATGTAGTTAATCTACTATAATTAGTTTGTTTAATGTCGAATCATATCAATTTGTTTTAAAGCTCAATAAATAACAAAGAAGACCTTTAACCGGCACTTATCTAATTTTGTCCGGAAGATTTCAACTTTAACGGACATGTTGACCGGCAAAAAAATATTCTAACGGGAACTCTGATGTATAACTTCCTCTTCAGTTGACACTTCACACGGCAGCTCAGCTTTCGGCTCTGAGAGAGATGTTCAGCCTTTGATAGATCTGGACAGCTAATTTCTCACTCGCACACAGCTCTTAATGAGCAAAGTTAAAAGCTTTGGCATTCAGAGCCGCACTGATAGCTTGGAGAGAGGGTAGAGCTGTTGAGGTGAAGGGTGTTCTGCTGTTCTGGAAGCTACACAACACACACCTTAACTCACTGACTGATGCAAAGCCCCCATGGTGGAAATATAATCTACAATTGTTACACCAAACCGATTCCAGGGCTGAGACATAATTAAGCCTGTCAGAGGGAGTTTAGCCTGGAGCCACCTTCTCGGCATGACAGTTTTTGCTGCAGCTAGAATCGTTATGGCCACTGGCACTAATTAGAAGCCTTGATTGAATGTGTCGCCTGATGTGTCGGGACATGTGTGACACACGTTGCATCGGCAGGGATCCTCTCTCAACCGGGTTTCTTCTGGAAGTGCCAGAACTGCTGATGTGAAATGACTGGATTCCTACATGGAGGATTGCTCGGAGTGGTTCACTAAGGCTTCTCTGTCACATTGGTTACATCACTGAGGGAAGGAAAGAAGGCAGGAAGTAGAAAGACAGGAAGG